ATATAGATGTCTATATATATATATATATATATACACAGACGCATGTTTGCGTGAGTAAAAAGTATATGTGTATGTATATCTATATCTATATATGTATGTATGAGCAGAGTACAAAAAAGGCAACACGAAATGCACATGAAGGATCTCCATGGTCTTATCGGATCCTTAAGGGAGGGTGGTTCAAGCCTTGGGATCCTTAGGGAGCTTTAAGTAGGGTTTAGGGTCGGGTTTAGGGTTTAGGGTTTAGGGTTTAGGGTTTAGGGTTTAGGGTTTAGGGTTTAGGGAACCCTAGGGGAGCCCTAGGGAGAATTGGGGATTATTGGGTTATATACCCCTCTTAGAACCCCCTCCCTTAAGGATCCCACAGTGGTCCAAGTCGACGAACCTTTCTTGCAAGTGCAACTCTAACCACCGGGCTTCCGACTCATTGCGGAGGCTGAGGGTCTAGGGTTTGGGGTTTAGGCTTTTGGGGTTTAGGGTTTAGAGCTCAGGGCTCCTGGTTTAGGGCTCAGGGTTTAGGGTTTAGGGTTTAGGGTTTGGGATTTAGGGTTTAGAGTGTCGGGGCTGGGGATTTAGGGTTTAGGGTTTAGCTGCATTCAATACAGGGGCTTTAACCATCAAAATGTGGGTTTCCGAAAATAGGGGACCCTAATATAGTACCCTAAATACTCGGATCCCTATTATGAGGACCCCAAAATAAGGTACCCTAATTTTCTGAAACTCCAAATGGCTTTTGGGGTAGAGTAACGCCATAGTCTCAATACAGAAACCTGAGGAACAACGTGGCAATGACGCAGGCCCCTGGATGTTGGAGGTGCCACGGTTGAGGGTGCTTCAGCTTCAGCCAAGGTCTCACCCTGAGGGATTTAGGCTTCAGGGTGTAGAGTCTAGAGTTTAGGGGTTTAGGGTTTAGGGCTTTAGGGTTTAGGGGTTTAGGAGTTTAAGGCTTTTGGGTTTAGGGGTTTAGGGGTTTAGGGTTTAAGGATTTAGGTTTCAGGGTTTAGGGCTTGGATGTTAGAGCTTAGAGTTTAGGGTTTGGGGCAAATTGAATTCACGGGTTCAGCACAGGTTCTATAGGGTTGAAGGGACTTCGTAAGCGTGGTTACAAGTACGGCGTACTTGTAAGTACAGCTTCCGTGCTTCCAACCCCAGATGCATATTCCATGATCCTTTAGGCCCTAAACCCCCTGTGGATCCCTTACAGAAACCTCTAAGGATAAGTAGGGTTATAAGTCCCCCAATATGGGATATAACTATAGTTACCTTCCTTATAGCCCCACTTATAACTACCCATGAACCTCCAAGTAGACCCTAAACCCTAAACCCTAAATCCCTAAACCCTAAACCCTAAACCCCACTTATAACTACCCCCTAAACCCGAAACCCTATAGAACCCTTTAAAGAAACCCTTATAGGAACCCTTAAAGGAACCTTATAACCCCACTTTTAAGGCACCCTTTCCTTTTTCAACCCTTTCATCTGCAAGGCGTCAAACCCATCGACCTTGGGCCTGGAATCCTAAGCCCTACTTGGAGGTTCATGCGTCGTTATAAGTGTAGGGTTTAAGGTTTAGGGTT